AATCAATTTCCATTCAAGTTTTTCATTTTCAAGTCCGAATCCGTCTCTACCTGTTTTTTCCAATGGAGTGAAGGTCTTCTTCTTCTTTTGCTTCCACCGCCGGGTACTGCATCGAAAACTTTCAAAGCTGGAGTATTCGCATCCATCCGGACTACATGGCCAGCGCAACCGCTTTTTCTTTATGCGTTAAATATGAAAATTAAATAAATATTTTTTTTTATTACTTTTGTTGTTAACTAGTACTACAAACGACCATATTGGCTTCGGCGAAATCGATCAGTCTCAACCCATTAAGGGTTGTTTCGTTGTGCAGGCTAAAATTCCTGATAGTTGTGTCGAAGATGCCCCCTTTTTGCTCACCCGGGCATTAAAATCGCCAAACACGATTTACGCAGCGCAACGCAACGCTCATGAACACTATTCAGGCGCTCATGAAATGTATCCTTGGTCATATTAACATTCCCTTACGACGGAGCTTGATTAAAAATAAACGTTGTGTTGAAAAATTTCGCTTCGTTATGGATTGTGACGAAGCATTCATCCATCGGAGTGAATGGCAGTACCTGATGTCGGAGACAATCTCCGACCACGAATTCGACACCTTATTTGAGCTCCTTTACGTCACTGCTATAGTAAGGTCCGTCACTCTTCTTGGACGGCGGTGATACCAGCCTTTAGTTTAGCGAGGACATCAACCTGCTTGTCAGCGGCACCTTCCCAATTAAGAGACCAAACACTGCAGGTGCATTTCCTCAAATCATAATACTCAGTTCGTTTGGTGGTCCGAGGCTACGTGGTGGGTCCCAGCCATAGCGCATATCCTCGTTGGGAGAGTAAGTTTAAAGTTTGTACACATTTATAAAGCGAGCCGCTTGCTTTGAGACTGACTCCGCCCGCTCGCAGCTACACCTCTGGTAAATAAACGCTGCAATCATATTCCAGCGGGGCCTTAAACTTAATAAGTCGGAGTGGCTCCAAACGGGTTCGTTACCGCATCTTTCACAAGGGTTGCTCACGTTTCCAGGGTGCGGGATATGGAGTCAAGAGTAGGAATTGAGTAAAGCCTCGCGACGGTAACTGCTTACCCACGAATTTACATTTACACTTTATATATATATTGCTACAATATATAAATCACACACTAGAAATCTCAATACATAAATATATACGTTTCAATGCTGCCTGCATGCAAAAAATCAATAATTGAGACTGATATTTATTCCACCGCAGAGCCAAAAACATTGAAATGCAACACCGCGTATAAAAGGTAAAGGAAATATGTGTTGGTCTCAAAAGAGAAAATATTTCTCAAAAATCAAATATTCACACTGCGCATAAATTTGCTATAAGAACAGATAAAAGGAGATTATATTGTTAATCTGCGAGTTCTAAAATACTCATCAGTCGGTAAAATAGTATACAGAGAGCAGTTAAAAACCCCTTTGGCAACACTAAATAAAAAATAATTAAAACATAATTTGTAATTAATTTTGCAAGAGCTTGGCAAAATTTCTGTGACCTGCGGCTGTAATAGCCGAGTTGTTAGCAGTGCGGATCCTATTCCTGGTCGGACCAACATCCGACTTTATGGAAAATTAATTTAAATGAAAAATTAATTTAGTTCTAATTGCGGTTGCTTCATGACTGTTCATCAAACTGTAGATCGCTCCATTTGTTGGAAATTAAATCGGAAGAGGAATAAATCTCTTATAATTTATTATTGTACGAATTAAATTTAATAAAACTAATATACAATTTAAATATACGCGGTGTGTCCCAAAAATAACCGATTTTTTTTGGATATAAAATAACACACATTATTTTATCTTTGAAAGTTATTATTTATTCAAACTCTTGACCCTACACAGCGTTTGCAACGATCAACCAGCGCATGCAAAGATTTTTTTATGTCATTTATAGAAATGTTCTTCAGTACCTCGGTTACGGCTGCTTGAATGGCTGGGATATCATCATAAAATGCTCCCTTCATCTTGGTTTTCAGTTTTGGAAATAAAAAATATTCACATGGTGATAGACCAGGCGAATACGGAGGATGGTCGATGAGAGAAATCCCTTTTTTCGATAAAAGTTCGAGCGGTTTTTTGGTCGTCATTTATTTCATGTGGAACAAATCGCGCTCAGACCTTTCTTTTCCCCAAATCTTCAGTTGAAACTCTCCACATAGGGTTTTTACCCGTATTCAATTCCTCAGCCAACATTCTCATAGCAAAATTTACATCGATACCAATGATTTCGCGGACTTTTTCCACCAGTTCAGCACGGTTACTAGTTTCTGCACGTCCTGCTCTTGGGTCGTCATTTAAATCCTTACGACTAGTTTTAAAATGCGTAAACCTCGTACAATTATCACAATAAATTTCTTTCATTAATTTTTTTTTCAAGTTTGACACAAAATTTTATATTTGCTCTTTGTTCCATTTTATTTTTGAACCATGAGCACACTTTTGGTTTAATTGAAATGGCTGTCACTTTTACATCTGTCATCCGACTTACATGATGCTAGAGGCGTTTGAAAGAGGATGAATGTATCTTTTTAATGTTGCAAACTTTTTAATATATGGCGCTGTATTTTGCATGATTGAAATATAAAGTTCGGTTATTTTTAGGACACACCGTGTATATATGGTTGGCGATTTGTAACCGCTGAAGCGATTTTCCAATAAATTGAAGGACAGCTTATACTGAATCGCCTGCGAACGGCCGATGGCTTTTATGAAGAGCCTTTATTTCATGCCATAAACACACTCGGATGGCTTGACATTCCCTGCCAAGGGGCGACCGCAATAAGAAAATTTTTATTTATATTAGTTTTATATACCTTTTTGATGTTGGTCGTACCAGGATTTGAACCCGGATGTTCCGAATGGCAGTACGCAATGCTAACCACTCTGCCATCGCCGTGTATACTATCATATATGAATAATATTTTTTTATAACGTGTGTAAAATATATAGGGCTATCCATTTCTTGGTTTCAAAGTTACAGGACTGCCTTAAGTAATTGAAATTACACTCAAAAAATAACTGCACTCTTTGGTCCGGAAGTATAATTGGCACATTTTTCTTTAAAAAACAACAACAACGAGACCATCACTGTCAGTTTGCAGCGCTATGGTCATTTGGCCAGCAACTGATGAACATGACTTGGACAATATGTGGCTTCAAAAAGATGGTGTCACGCTACACAACAGGATCGATTGCGGCTTTATTGTGAGAGGAATTTCCTGGCCGCAAAACCTCTCGTCTTGGCAATGTCAATTGGTCGCTATTTGGCACCGTTGAACTTTTTTGCGGTGCTAACCGAAGGTCCGTGCGGTCAAAACTTTAACTTTTGTGCACTGAAAAACCAACATTATTTCATACAAAAAATAAACATTAATTTAATTGCGAGACTGCAAAGTGGATAACCGTGTAAAAGAACAAACGACAAAACTGCCATACCGCATACACCGTAAAAAAGTTCTGTTTCCAAGGTTTGTAGTGTATATTGCGAGTCTAACATACATCTATAAACTACTGCTTCAAAAAAATTACCGTGGTTTTTTTGAAAGTTAGTAAGAAATAAAATTTAGCATATGCATACGCGATATTTTCTGAATAAAACTTGGAATTATTTTCGTTTTTTAAGATATAATACATTTATGACTGCGTTTTTCCAATCCTCGAAACACTTCTGAAATGCGTTTCTTGGTATCGCCAATAGCTCCTGTTTCAATTTTTCTTTTATCTCCTCAATCGTAGCAAAACGCTTTCCTTTCATCGGTGTCTTCAGTTTTGGGAAGAGGAAAAAGTCAGCGGGGCCAAGTCAGGTGAATACGGTGGTTCAGGTTTTGGCCAAAACCTCACGCACAAGCTTTGATTAGTGCGCTGGTGCGTTATCATGGTGCAAAATCCATGATGGTTTTTTCCTCACATCTGTGCGTTTCTGACGAATTGTTTTGAGCATAACTTCTAGGTAGTATTTTTTATTGACGCGCGAACGTCCTTGGGGCAAGAGTTCATGGTGCACCACGCGATTCCAGTCGAAGAAAACAGTGAGCAAAATCTTTACATTTGATTAAACTTGACGTGCTCGGGCGACCAGGACCAGCAATGTCTTTGACATCTTCTGGGCCTACCTTAAACCGGTTATACCACAATTGAACTTTTGTTCTGCTCATAGTAGAATCGTCAAGCCCCACAGTCAACATTTCAAATGTCCTTGTGCATTTAATTTCATTTTTTACACAAAACTTAATACAGTTTTTTTGCTCCGATTTTTCGAATAGTAAAAAATCAAAGACACTACTAAACTTTTTATCTCTCAAAAACAAACTGACTACTCAAAATGGCTGATATTGCCTACATATTATATATAAAAGACATGACACATAATGAAAAAAGCGAAAATCAAACATTCGTAACTCGAGAAATTTGAATATAACGGTTATTTTCTGATCACACCTCGTATATTCGAGTACTTTTTAACTCCTGAAATGATTTCCAGCCTCCTACTATTATATATTTTGTAATTGTTCCTTAATATTTTTCGAAAAATGTAGGGTCTTACAATTTAATCTAAGCTGGTTACAAGCGGCCGATGGACATTTTTAAACAACTATATTTTATATGTCAGAAGCTCACTCGAAGGAGTTGACATTGTCTGCTGGCAATTAATTAGAGTTGTTTGTTCACGGTCGTTACTAAAATTACAAAATACACACACGCACAAAAATATTTGGGTAGTTTACAATAATGTCCTAATTTTTTCCTGCTTTTCAATTTACATACGATTTTGTTTTTAATAAATTTGCATGCATATATGTTTGTACATAAGGATATTGTATTTTTGAATATGGTGTTATGATGTTGGAATGTAAGTATGCACGGGTGTGTATATTAATTACGGGTGAGTATATCTGTTTGTTTAAGTGTGCTATTATGGCTGCGTGTCTTTAACGTGGAAGAGTACTATACACAACGGAAGAGATGCCAACTCACACGTTGAAGGGTCGACCAACATTCTTCTAAGGTGCGTTCACTGATGGCGGCTGCGCTTGTAGAGCGGGATAATTGCAGCTGTTGTCGTGTGCCAAAAATTAAATTGTTTATGGTTGTTGTTGCGATATAGTTGAATGAAACCGCCGAGGTTGATTGCACAAATGTTGTTTACCAGTATTCGAGAAATGATATGAAAAATAGAGATAATAATATGTATTAGGGAAATTTGTTTTTCAGTTATGTACATTTAGTCTTATTTAATATAACTTTTTGTTTTAAGCACAAGGTTCAAATACCTACGAATAATTAAGTCTTTATAGAGGTTTTAGCTCATAAAACAAAATGGAATATATTCCAAAATCTCAATAACAACATTTCCACATTTACGCAGCTTGTTTTTCATTTGAGACGTTAGTCCAAAGTTAATAGCAATCGTTATCAAAAGTATGCTTGGGCTGCCAGTCAAGAAAAAAAAGTTACAAATCAAACGAAAATATAAATACAAAATGAAACAGAATCAAAAGGTGCATTATAAAAATTAACTATAAAAAAATACTTATGCATTTAAGTGCAACATAAATACCTCTACTTAAGTTCAAATTAAATGGATTAACTTTAGAAACGAATAAAGAGCAACGTGAAGCGAAACTCGAGAATTTAGTTTATGTCTTGGAATATAAGAGTGCATAGAAAGCAAGAAAAATGTGTTTGAGTCTCTGAAAATTGGTTTTTGATAGACTATTTACAATAAGTACTATGAAAAAAAAAGTTGGATAGAACTCGAAGATAAATTAAAATCTACATTCGAATAATTCGTACAGATATGTTAAAATTTATTCTGTTCAGAAGAAGAAGTCAGAAAATATGAGTCGCTGGCACCAGGTAAAAGCAGTATGTTCAAAACTGAATGAACGATAACTGCATAATAACTATCAAGGTTCACAAAAGCAATTGGAGTAGGAAATCGATCCGAAATTGATTCAGCAGTTATATAGCGCCAACTAAACAATCCGATTACAAGTTTTACTTGTTCAGTTTACATAGTTTGGGGTGAAAATTTGACACGTAACAAAACATATCCAAGCAGTAGCTTCAGGCAAATTACTTTAGAGCTTATGTTTCTTTTGAATGTATGTCTTATAACAGAGCAGCAAATACTAACCCTTCGAGTGTATTTCTCGCTTGGAATAAGAGTTTCCTATAAAAATTCATTAGTCCTTTGGAGGCTACTTGATTTGAAGGCTACTCCGCATCTTAGAAAATAATCCAGATAAAAACCATGAATTGGTGGAGAAGCTCTGCCGAAAACCGCTTCAGCTGTTACAAAGTGCCCAATACATATACATAATTTAACTACATTCTGACTGAACTACATTAATTTAAGTAAATTAAATGTAATTTCATTTAACTAAGTTTATTGGCTTCTTTGAAAGTTGTAATTTAGCTTAATTTAATTTGATAAAGTTTAATTTAATTTCTTTTTTTTTGAACTCGATTTAACTTAATACAATTTATCAACACTACAGCAAGCGGTACACATTAGAAATGCTTCACATTATAAACACACCCACAGAGATAAGACTAAACTTCAAAACGGACACTGATAATTGCGCTCACTTGTACAGACACTTGCTAGCAAACGATGCGACAGTAAAAAAACGGCCACGGTTAGGACGTATAATAATAGATGTATGTATGTTTATGCAAAATTTATTATATAATATAATTTATTAACTTTGTTTATGTTGTTGATTAGTGCCCTTGTAGACGGTTAGCGATGTATAATCGAAATATATCGGGAGACCACACTACTTACATTGTTTTTATTTATTCGGACCTCCAGCCGAATAAAAATAAAAGAAAGATCGCTAAAATCATCATTTCATTCTGTTTGAAATAATTTAAATCATTTTAATTTATGATAATTTACAATATTACAGTTTCTCATCTGAGTAAAACTTCGCAAAAACCACTCATACCCTGCCGAAATGCGACCGCAATATAAAATTTAAGTAAAATTAATTTGCGATAGTTTTGAATGTTGGTCTGCTTTTGAAAATACGACCTCCCTCATGAGGGACTACACTGTAACCCATCGGCTTCTTGGACGGTCTAATCTAATTTTAGTTTGGTTTCATTTGGAAATTGCATTCGGTGATCGCGCCAGGTCGGACCCGAAGATATACACGAGCTATTTTAGCCGACTTTTAAAATGCATCCTTCGGTAGACAAAACGAAGCGACGCCCGCCGTATGCCAAACACCATCATCAGGAAGGCGAAAGCCTCCAAATCCATCGGCCCGACGGAATAAGCATGCTGATGATAAAACATCCTGATTCACTCCAATCGAAGACATGAAAAGTTGTTACTGGAGTATGAGTGTCAAAAACCGAGCATTGTAAAATAGAGTAATTATATATTTATAACTAGCTGCACCCTGCAACGCTTCACTGTCGCACATACACAAAATTTATGAAACATTAATCGTTTTACCATTGATTTTACCATCTCCCGGAGAGGGTCTAACCTTTTGAGTCGGTCAGTCCGCGGTCCAATTACTGGAGAGAATAATCGTCTTCCTATTAATCCAAGCAAAAAGTGAACTATGTACCAAATTTCCATTTAATCAAACTTTTTCGAATCAGTCAGTCTCTGATCCATTTTCTGTTAATCTAAGCAAAAAGTCATCTATGTATCGAATTTTGAATAAATCAAACCATAGAGACGATTTTTTGAACAGGTCAGTCCCTGGTCAAATTACCGGCGAGACGAAGAGTCTTCCTGTTTATCTAAGAAAAATGCTACCTATTTCCCATATTTCAAGTATATCCAGCATTAAATAAACTTTTTCGAATAGGTCAGTCTCTGGTCCACTTTTCGGAGAGAAGTGTAGTCTTCCTGTTAATCTAAGCAAATTGCAGGCTATGTGCCAAATTTCCAGTAAATCGAACTATAAATAAGATTTTTTGAATGGGTCATTTGTTTTCCACTTATTATTAACATGAAGAGTTTTCTTATTAATCTAAGCGAAATGCAACCTATAGGCCGAGTTTCAATCGAACCATATAATCTAAGCAAAATGTAACTTATGTACCGAATTTCAAGTAAATCCAGCTATAAATAATATTTTTTAGAATAGGTTTGTTCGTAGTCCACTTCCCGGAGAGAACAAACGTTTTCCTGTTTATCAAAAGGCCAACTATGTATCGAATTTCAAGTTAATCCAACCATATATAATTTTTTTTCGAATAGGTCATTCCCCTTCCACTTACTGGTCAGAACAAGATGTTCTTATTGATCTAAGCGAAATGTAACCTATGTACCGAATTTCCAGTAAATCCAACCATAAATAAACTTTTTTCAAAGAGGTCAGTCACTGGCCCACTTTCCATAGAAAAGTATTGTGATTTTGTCAATCTAAGCAAAAGGCCACCTATGTACTGAATTTTAAGTAAATCGAACCACGAACAAACTTTTTTCGAATAGGTCAGTCGCTGGTACTTTTCTCCTAGAAAAGAAGAGAGTCTCCCTGTTAATTTAAGCACAATGCAACCTATATACTGATCTTCAAGTTAATCCACCATAAATAAACTTTTGTCGAATGGGTCAGTCCAGGATCCACTTCCTGGAGAGATGATCCCGGGAATGGTTTCTAAGACCGGGGACAGACCTATTCGAAAAAAAAAACTCTTATGTCGCTGCGGAACAGATGTTTTCCAAAAATTACCCCTCTTGAAAGTTCGTCAGATTATTTCTATTATTCCTGAGAAGGTTTTTTAAATCAAAATTTTCGAGAAGTGAACCAGGGTCTGATCTGTTCGAAAATATCTTATTTATGGACCGATTTACTTAAAATTTGGTAAATAGGTGCCATTTTGCTTAGCAAAACTACACTTCTCTTCGGAAAGTAGCCGAAATACTGGCCTTTTCGAAATTTACTATGGTACTGGATAAAATATAAAGAAAATACTTTTTTTTACTAAGGTTTCCACCAAAAAAATAGAAGCAATGAATTCCATTTATGGTTTGTTGTGAATTCAGAGTTTTAGGTAACGGGCTAATCGCCAGGTAGTACTTGTGTTAAAACAATTATGTCCGGTGATGAAATGAAAATTCGGGCACATTAAGGAATTTTTTACAGCACGTTCACAATTGTTGTCCAAATAATTCCCACAAAACATCACGAATATGAAGTTATTTGCTTTTTATATTGGATGGTATGTGGCTGCATTGATTTGTTGTTGTTATTGATAAATTGTTATGCTCGCCATAGATGGTACTCAGCACGAAAAATGTCAGAATTTCAATGTTGGCTGTCAAAATTTACGATATGGCACATAGCCTGATATATTAAATAAATTTGTTGCTCAATATTAAAGTTAGTAAATTGAATATTATAACCGTGGATGTTATTAGTTTAATTTTATATGAATTATATATATTTTAATAATTATTACTAAATTATATTTTAATGAATAAATTTAATTCAGTTTTAACATGAATAAAATCAAAATATAAAAGCATATATATTTGAAAGACTTCTAACAATGTTTATGATTGCAATATACGAGATTCGTAAGGATCTTAAAGCGTTCTCGATACTTCGTTTTGCTTTAAATAAATAAATATAAACTATCAACTAAAATAAGAAAAACTAAAAGGGAATCCATAAGAGGTCAGACATGTAAGAATGTTATAATGACAAATATTGATCGGGACAAAGCAATTACATCATGTTCCTCTTCACATTCAAGAGTCATTTTGCTATTTATTGTGTTCGCGTTCTGTCGTTACCGACTTTTGTATGCAACTGCTGCCGACTTTACAAGTTCGCTCCTTGCCAATAATTACAGTTAAGTGTTTCTTGCAGACGTGTTTCATATAAAATTTTGCTGATTATTAATGTATATGTTGATAGTATACGGGCTTGAATATTACTTTTTTAGCGATTTAGAGATCTGGTATCTTATTAATATTGTTTCATTACCACTTTTACGACTTGTTTATTAAGTTCTTCTTGCACTTAAATATTTGTAACACCATTCTTTAGAGTTTTATAATTCGAGGGGGCTCGTCG